GCGTCGGTGTCATCATCATCCCGACCATCCTGCCACCCATCATGAACGTGATAGGGTTCGCCGGGACCATGGGTGTGGTGGCCGCGATTCTGGTTTTTGGCGCCATCATCTTGGCCATCCAGCCGACGATCTGGGTGTACAAGTACGGTCGAAACGCGTTTATCGGCGAGAACGCCAAAGCATTTTTGTAGTCTCTGCGTTCCCTGGATTGGGATTCTCATAAACGTGTGTTGTCCAAATGATCAGCAAACTCCCACTTTTCTCCTTAAGGGCCATTGCTGGTATGTGTGGGACCCGAGCCGATCCTGAGGGAGCAGCAGAGCGTTTTCGTGCTTTTTGTGAGTCAGGAGCTTGCGGTCGGCAAAGTAGTGCGGTTCGGCAAAAGCCCGAGTCATGTGCTGCAAAGGAGAAAGCCTTCATGTATTGTCCAGCTCCAGCTTGCATCGTTTGGGTGGTAGTAGGCTTTGGGGATGGAGATTGTCTGCCTTTTTTTGAGTTGGCTAGCTCCCTTGCTTGCATGCTGAGGGCCCCTGTTTTATAACCGGCATCCTCGGCACGCCCACGCCCCTTTCTCGTCGCCATCCTGCTGCTCCTCCATCTCAGCATTTGTTTTTCCCGCACTCTTAGCCATGACCGCCGATACGCGTGACCTCGCCGAGCCTCTGGTAGTGCCAGAGCCATCCAAGACCGCAGCCCCCGACAAGGGCGAGAGCACGACCAGGGTGGGCTTCAATGTGCTGAATGCTATCGTGGGCAGCGGCATTGTGTGTCTCCCGTACGCGCTGCATAACGCCGGCTTCTTCTTCGGTGTCTTTATGCTCGTTGTAATTGCCGGGCTCTCGCAGTTCACGCTCTACGCTCTGGTGCGCACTGGGACGCGTACAGGCACTGCGCATTTTTCGTCAGTGACTGAGGCTGCGCTGGGCAGATTTGGCTACCACGCTCTGAACATCAGCATGCTGGTGGACATGCTGGGCACGGTAATCCTGTATCTAATGCTCATTGGCGACCTTGTCGAGTCGCTGGTCCAGATCTACGCGCCGGTGCAGGTTTCGCGCGGCGTGCTACTGTCGGCCATTGCGATTGTTGTGATCCTGCCACTTCTGTTTTTCCGCAACACCGGTCCGCTGGCTCAATTCTCGATTGTCTCAGTCCTGTGTCTGCCGTATATCATCATGGTGGTGGCTATGCGTGCACCCCTGTATGCTGGCGAGTCTTCTGTTAACTTCGATGTCTTTGGCCCGCGCATTCTGCCTGCCATGGGTGTGCTGGCCTTTACGTATAGCTCGTGCCATGCGGCGTTCCCCAATTTCCTGGGTCTGCGCGACCGGTCTATCGGGAATTGGGTCCGGGCGTCGGCCGCAGCCACAACTGGTGCCACAGCCATCTCGATGGCGTTCGCTGTGACCGGATTCCTGGCCTTTGGCAGCTCGGCCCAGGCCAATGTGTTGATGAATTTCCCTGATACCGACAACTGGGTCAACTTTGGCCGCCTGCTGTTTGCCGTCACGATGGTGCTGACCACGCCCATGGCATTCTACCCGGTGCGCGATACTCTGACCGAGATTCTGAAGATCGATCCTGAACGCCATGCCGTCAGCACAGTCTACGAGTCCACATGCACCGTGGTGGTGTTTGTCATGTGCACCGCCGTTGCCATTGTGTGTCGCGACTTGGGTCTGGCCTACGAGCTGATCGGGTCGCTGACTGCCAGCGTCATCAACTTTGTCCTGCCTGGGCTCGTCTACCTGTGGGCTGGCACTGATGTTTCGCTGAGCATGATCTTGAGTCGCCAGAGCCTCGAGAGCGCGCCGCTGCTGGGCGGGACTCCGGTCAGACTCACTGCCTGGAGCCTAGCCAAGTGGGTGGTGGCATGGATGGTCGTGCTATTCGGCTTCTGGATAATGGTGCTAGGAACGTACAATATCCTTGCAACCGCTTAAAATTATTTATGAAGAACAAATGTATTATTTTCAACTACAGTGTTTGTCAGACACAGTTGTTTATGACATGTACTGCATGCCTGGAGGCAGCTCAAAGACTTGGTTGTCTGGCGGAATCATGATGTTTTCAGTCATGGGGTCGGGTCAGTTATTCCAACCTAGCGATAGTCCAGTCTCATCATTATATAGCCCCATCCATGACAGTCACATATGGTCCCTCTTCTATATCTTAAATCCATCCAACTGTGCACAAATGGTTTTGTTGGTAACATCACGAAATTAAATATAAGATTTACTCTGATTTGGCCATACATAGGAACCTGGCTGCAGACCCAACTTGGTGACGCGAGACAAAAGTAAAAGGGTTCTACGAAGTTAATGCACTTCAAAATCGTTTTTACTTGCGGACGGGGTTAGTGCGCTTGCGGCGCCGAACAATGGCACGACGCTTAACGAGGCAGCGGCACCGTTGGCACTTTTGCGTAAAGACGCACGTCGATTTGGGTGGGGCCGAAGAAGTTGGAGCACTCGTGGGTGTCGCACTTGGAGTCGGAGTCGGAGTCGGAGTCAGAGTCGGAGTCAGAGTCGGAATTGGAGTCGGGGTCGAGGTCGAGGTCGGGGTCTGAGTCGGTTCAAGGGTAGGTTGAGAGGTTGGTTCAAGAGTGGGCTGAGAGGTCGACTCAAGGGTAGGCTGAGAGGTTGATTCAAGGGTAGGCTGAGAAGTCGGCTCAAGAGTGGGCTGGGGAGTAGACTGAGGAGTAGACTGAGGAGTAGACTGAGGAGTAGGCTGAGGGGTAGGCTCAAGAGTGGGCTGAGAGGTCGGCTTAAGAGTGGGCTGGAGAGTAGACTGAGGAGTAGACTGAGGAGTAGACTGAGGAGTAGACTTAGGGGTAGGCTCAAGAGTGGGCTGAGGAGTAGGCTGAGGGGTAGGCGCAGCAGTGGTCGGTGGAGTGACGACCTTGAGCTCGAGGTCAGGGCACTTGGGGATCTCAATCTTGCTGCTGTACGAAGCAAACAGCCACATTGCGATGCCGTTGGTCCGCATCGGGTTAATGTCCGCGTTGCTGACCGACGACAAGCTGCCATCAGCGTTAATCTGGTAGCTGCTGTTGGCATTGGCAGATGAGCCGACCGAGTTCTGATCCAGCACACCGTTGATAGAGCCACCGTTGGCATACCAGTCGCAGAACGCCTGGTCGATCGTGCCCTGCACAACGCGGGTTGAGATGCCCTTGAGCTTGGTTGAGAGTTCATTGCTAATGCCCAAGTGCTTCTCGACAGTCTCGGCCGACTTGACCAGCATCTGCTGCATGGGTGGGTTCACATGCGGGTAGTCCCACGCCTGGCTGGTGTTGAACAGCGTGTTGGGCAGGCCGTTCGGATAGCGATCGTACAGGTTCGAGACCGCCGTCAGCGCGAGCTTGGCACCGGCAGCCGGCATCTTGTCGCCAAAGGCCCAATACGGCCACAGCGCGCTCAGAGACCAGATGTCCGTCCTCTTGTTTGCCTCCAGATGGAAGTCGTTGAAGAAGCCGGTCTTCTCGTTATACGTCAGGTCGAACAGTGCCTGGCGGCGCTGCTCGGCGCGCAGGCGGTATGCCTTGCAGTCAGCGGTGACGTTCTTATAGACCAGCTCCTCGAAATCGGCAATGATCAGCTCAGCCTGATACAAGATCGAGTTCAGGTTGACAGCGATGGTGTCGTTGACAGCAACCGAACCCAGGATATTGAGCTGTGTCGAGTTGTACTTGGCAAATGGGTTGACCAGGTCGCCGATAGTTGCCGCTCGGCGGCGCAGGGCCATCTTTGAGAGCTGCGGGAAGACTGTGACGTCGACAGGGCTAACATACTGCACACTGGGCACGGTGCCAGCCTCGGATGCAGCCAGCAGATCAGACGACGTCAGCGCCATCTTGCTCAGCTGGACCGAGGTCTCCAGCTGTGTGGCCAGCGTGAGGTCCTGGGTGTACGTCTCTGGTCTCGGAGTGAAGGAGGACAGGCTGTTCTGGCCATTGCCAGTAGGCAGCGCCTGACTGCTCAGCACTGGACCGAAATGTCGACAGAAGTGTTGTGGCGAGCTGGGAATCCGCTGGACTGGCGCTTGCCGAGTGAGACTGTAGCATTGCGGGTGTACGTGACGTTGACGCCGCGGTACGTCTCCCAGAAGGTGTGCTCCTTCTTTAGCAGCGGCAACGCAGCCTTGACAAAACTCGAAGTCCTTGGTGGCCTCGTAGTATGTCTGATCATCAGTGCCAGCAGCGGGGGCTCGGAGCGGTCTGTGAAATAGAGGCGGCCGCCGGTGGGCACAAACCCGTGGTAGTAGACCATGTCGAGAAGGTTCTGCCAGCATGCCCTTGGTTGTGGTGTATAGCCCAGACTCGAGCAGTCCCAGCTCGACATAGTAGGTATCCCAGTAACGGAACTCGCGCGAGATGGTGCTGCCCGAGACAAAGAACGTATTGTTCAGGTGGAGCAGCGACGTCTCACATCCGTCGCACTGCTGCACAGTTTTTGCTTTGCGGGCCAGCTTCTTCCACTGGTTGTGCAGCTGCACTCCGTAACCGCGCAACACAGGGTCTGTGACGCCGTCAAGAACGGTGGTGTTTCGGTCCAGTCTGGCAGCTCGGCCTCCTCGATATCGGAGCCCGCAGGTGCGAAGTGGTCGTCGACAAAGCGGGACAGCTCGGCCTTGGTCACATTGGCGGGCAAGGCGCTGAAGGCGGCCACAATCTCTTTGACCGGCTTGCGGGTGGGCATGTCGACAAATGTCTTGTCCTCGTCAAAAATGCCCGACCGCTGCACCTTGTCAAGGATAGGCCCAGTGCAGTAGATGGGATGGTCACAGGCCTTTTGCACGTACAGGCCGCTGTCTCGGGCTGATGTCACCGGGCCGGGCGACGACTGTGCTGCGACTGATGATGCGCTCGCCAATACCGTCCGCGAGCGCCCACAATTTATATCCGGCTTCATCGTTCTGCTGTGTGTATAGGATGTGAGCAGGTGGTCCGGCTGTTGAACAAAAATGTACAGGTGTACTGCCGAAAGTCAGCTATTTAAAAAAGCGGTATCCGTATGATTGTAAGCTTCTCTTGGATATATAGACAAGTGGAGAAGCCGAATAAATATCAAATGCGTGTATGCGGGCAAATGTGGTTTGGGCTATGAACAAAGCAGCGCAACACAGCAAGTGGGGAACAGGAGGGCAGAAATAATAAGGAATTGGTATTAGAGATTAAAGAGAAAGCTACAGAGCAGAAAAACTGACGAGCAACGAACAGAAGGGTTCTGCAGATGAAGGGCGATGTAGTGCGGTCGGTGTTCTTGCGAAAGCGGTCATGCATACAACCTCTCCAGTCTGTTCTCGCTAGACGGCTATTGTGTTCCCCATTCACCCAAGGCGGGGCAGCCAGCGGCAGAGTGTGCGCCTGGCCCTTGATGAACACAATTGGCACGTAAAATAAGCGGCATGCATGTCCTGGGGTTGGGAAATCAAGTGGTGGTCGGGGGTTTGCGCAGATTTCTCGCAGTATAGTGCAAAGGCCAAAGCCAGATTTTCGCCTGCGCCATATGCAGCTTGCGTGCCAACCTTGGCAGAGGGTGTGGCCCGCGCCGGGGTGGTGTTCGCTGCTGCGTAGCATGCCCCCCAAGCACCGGGTGTGCCCGCAGCAGCGGTACCAAATTCGCCGTTGAATCGGTTGGAGACATCATGTGCGCGGGCCTAAAAATACGTTGTGATGGACTGGCCGTATCGCCCGCCATTGTCCAGCCCAATACCTATTTATGGCGGGCCTATATCTGTCCCAGCATGCACTCTAATGGCCGCACGGTGCCATGGAGCACAGAGCAGCTCTGCTATCTGGAGCCGCCTATTGAGCTGATGACATAAAACAGAAGCCACGCGTGTAGCAGTGCAATAGTGGGCTCAATCCCTCGTCGTGACCACCATTAGAGGTCCGCAGGGTGCAGCGCCCAGCAGCGAGCAAGAAAAGCTCGTCAATATCTTGCTTTTGACTTGCTACATTTGCGTTGATTTTCTCCCAGGAGCCATATACGCGTGACCGGCAAGGGCGTTGCTATTGCATGGCCGTAGTGCCATTTGTTGTTTCCCGGGTCAGGCAGTGCAGCAGCCGCCAACACCGACACCGCCCTGTGGCCCTGCTGGCAGGGAAAAAACCGGCTTTGTTGCTGTTCCCAGGATAGGGGCAGGTGTAGCAGCTGCACACCGGTTATCCCTAGCTACAGACCTAGAACCGTCCTCGCT